TCTATGATATCCACGCAACCTGGTGGTCACAACAACTAAGTTTGTAGATTTCCCCCTTAAGTCAAATACTTTATTTTTTTTTTTAATTGAGGCAGATTAAGCAATTTCTTTTTTTACCTTCTGGAGAAAATATAGTGGTCCTCGAGTCATATCTTCGAGACTGTGAAGGAAAAACAGAAAGGTGATTCCTGTCCACTGAAGCAAGTCAATTCCTTCTGCAAGCCCACAAATCATCTTATAGAACATTCTGGTCCACTAAGTGCAGTGCATGAGAAGAAACTTGTAAGGAAGAAAACACCATTCCCATCTCTTTCTTCCATTTCACTTTTCTCATGCAAAAGTCTGCCAAGTGAGCACCAGCAACATGGTTTATCAGGCAACAGTCTGTGGGTATGTGTTTTAAACTCACCATCTTTTATCTTATCTTTCTACAATTCCTGTAAAAAGAAAAAAGGATAAGTATTAAAACGAAACTTACAAATGAAAAAATTTATTTCCCTGCTTGAGCTCCGCCTACTAGCCCGGCGAGGGAGGCCCGCACCCACTGTAAAGCAAAGTGTAGACACACACCAGACAGGAGCCAAGAGCTGAACAGGGAGAGGAATGAAGCAGGGACTTTCTGAGAAAATGAATCCAGACGAGCGATGTGAGGCCGACATAAGGCCGAGAACCTCCGAGTCCAAGAGCAAGGCTGGGAGAGGCGGATGCCGGGAGGAGAGAACGTGACCAAGGGCCGGGGCTAGAGCCGGAGCCGGAGCCGGAGCCAGGCGAGCACCAGGTCTGCGAACACGCGGCCAGTCAGGGGCGCGGCTCTCCGGGGGCTCTGGGTCCCGAGCGCGCGGGGCGCGGGGACCCGCGGCGTCATGACTCTTCCCGAAAAACTCGGCACCGGGCTCCTTCGGGTGCGCGGGTGAAAGGTTAAGCGTCGGCCGCCTCCCGCTCCCCCGACACGGAGCGCGGCGGGGCGGACAGGTGAGCGCCGGGTCCCGCCGTGCGCGTCCCGGAGACCGCGGGGCTCCGCAGCCCGACAGAGGCCGCCGCGACTCCGCCCGGACGCGCCGGTGGCTCAGAGCGCGGGCGGCGGCGGCCCGGGGGTGCACCGGCAGGGAAGGCCGCGGGGCCACGGGCAGCCGGGCCGGCCGGGCTGCGGCTCTCCAAGGCCGCGCGCCTCCCCGCGCGCCCCCCCCCCCCCCGCGCGCCCCCCGGCCCCCCCCGGCCCACGCCCGCCCCCCGGCCCCCCTGGCCCACGTCCGCCCCCCGCGCGCCCCCCCCCCCGCGCGCCCCACGGTCGGACCTGCCCGAGGAGGCGGGTGCAGAGTCATGGTGCGCGCGGCTCCCGGCGGCGCCCGCAGGCCCGGCCCGCTCCAGCGCGACGCCCCCGACCCCTGCCCCGCGGAGGGCAGTCGCGTCCCACGAGCTCCCCCGAAAGGCTCACCCGAAAAGGACCCCGAAGAGGGAGGCTCCGGGATTGGGGAGAGAAGCCGCCGCCAGTGCTGAGCGTCCGCGGCCAATATGGCGCCCGCGCCTGCGCAGTCGGGGGGCGGAAGCGGAAGTGTCGGGGGCGGGCAAGGAGCTGCCCTCGTGGGTGCTGGGGACTTGGGGTGCCGGTCCTTGGGGTGCCGGTCCTTGGGGTGCCGAGTCCCTGTCGTCACCCCAGCCGGCGCGCCGCGCAGTGCAGCATGGGAGGTGGCGCGAAGACCCCGGCCCTGGGGAAGAGCCAGTCCCCCCTTTGCACCATTTTCACTTTCACTTTTTTTTTTTTTTTAAGCTCTTTTTTTTTTAAAGATTATTTATTTATTTATACAAGAACCGGGGTACAGGCCAGATGTGTGGGAGGGTGAGAGGATTCACTAGAGCCGGAGCGGGGAGCAGGCAGACTGACGAAGTACACTGCTGAGGGGAGCAGTGGGAGAGACAGGAGAGGTCTGCCAGCCATGTGGGACTCTCCCCTGGTGGTCAGGGAGCAGCGGGGTATCGAACCAGCGCTGCAGAGCCTGCGGGCAGCTTCGCAGCCCAGTGCTCGACCGCTGCGCCACCGGGGAGGCCCTTCACTTTCACTTTCTAGGGCAGCTCTGGACATCGCCTGGAGAGCCTGATGTCTGTGACTGGGCAGGGAGGGACACCCCAGGCTCCCAAACCCACCTGCTCTGAATAGGTTCTGCCATCTGCCAGGTCAGCACAAAACATATGAGACTTTAATGGGAAGGAACTTTAGTACAATTAGGAAACAGTACAGGAAAGGCAAAGAATATAGTTTCTAGATCAAGCACCCAAAGTTACCCGTCCCCTCATGGGTAAAAGTCCACCCAAGCGGGACTGGCCCAGAGCAAGGCTCCAAAGCTGCCCCAAGTCTAAAATACCTTCCAGTGGGGACGCACAGAAAAGGGTAAGAAACAACCAGACAATTCTGGGAGGAAAAGAACAAAATCAAGGTAAAAGCTGCCATTGTCACCTCCTCTCCCCCACATCTGCATCACCCAGTCCACGACCACAAGGCTAGCGCAGTTTCTTCACGTGGCTCTCGGCTCCATGTGCCTCCTCCAGGTCTCCTTCTGGCTCCATCCTGCTCCTTCCTTCTCAGTCTCCTCTGCAGCTTCTTCTCTCCCTGCTCAGCTTCACCCTCTCTTGGGTGGGGCAGGGAAACTGGAACCTCCCCCTCTCCTGGGGACCCCCTTTAGTCTCAAGCCCAACTTTGTCCTTCCTCCTGCCTCTCCTTATCCTCCCCTTCTTCAATCTGGCTCCCACTTTTATTGCTGGTGTCCCCAGTGTGCGCTGTTACTGTAGCCCTTGAACCACCACAGGCTCTTGTCCCACAAAGCCATAAAAGGAATTTGCAGACATTTTAGCTACGTAAGCAGAGAGAAACAAACTTTGCTTAAGAAAGAAAAGTTTATTTGAAGGAAAAAAGTGAGGACTCCCAGGTACGCTGTCCTTGGGAGAGGCAAAGAAGTCCTGTGGGCTCTCTCTCCCTCTCTCCTTAGAGCTCACCTCCCTGTCCAAGGTCTTAGTCGTTCAAGTTTTACTGTTTTTGTTTAGTCCTTCTGGACATTCTGACCTCATCTCTGGTGTATGTTTTGCTTAGGACCTCTTAAAAGTTACTCTCCTTGTCACAGAAGCCTCTTTTAACTCCACAGAAGTCCCTGGCTGCACTGTCCCCGAAGCTGCCTAATTAACCCCAACTTGCCCCCAGTACATGCATTTATTGATAAAGCAAATTACAAATAGCAAGAGATATAAAAATTTTGGCATCATTTGAGTCTGGGTAACAAATGGTTGACGTTCTGATCCCAGGCACGTCTGCCTAGGTACCTGGGTTTGCTGAACTAAACCAGCCTGCCACAGACAAACGAGGATTGGTTTGTCCAGCCATGGCTTGACATGACTTTCTACTACTTAGACATGACTTTCTACTACTTAGAACCGCACTGATTGAACACCTCATTTGCACAGAGTAGACCCAAGTGTGGACTAACATTCTTTTCTGTTCATACAAGCACTCCCACGTCAGAGCAGCTTGGGCTCACAACTTGTGATTCTTGTTCTGTGTTCCTTGGGCTACGGTTCTAATAAAACCACCAAATAAACACTTATATTTTGCTTCACTCAGGTGGAGCTCATTCTGGGACAACATAGGTGTCATACCTTTGAACATTCACCTTGGTCATCTCTTCTGCCTTTCACCTCCTCAGAAAAGATTTCCTGGCCCTACCACCACCACACACACACAGCAATTTATCTTTTCTACTGAAACTGTCATAGGTTTATGTGTTCATTATCCATCTCGCCACCCTCTTACTTGGCTTTGGTCCATATATAAACCATCTACAATTCACGTTTAGGTCCTTCTGGCTAGAAGATGACTAGGTCTGGTTTAATGTGTAGTCACTCAGTTTCCTACAAGAAGAGGGCTGCAGGGCCAGGACGTGTCCTTTTTATGTTGGCTGCAAAATTATTATGCGGGATCTGAGCTTTGAAAAGGAGGTAGCCTGAGAATGAATTGTGTTTTAAGCCTCTCGTGTCATTTCTGCTTCTCAGGCACATGGTGAGGTGAATCAAGACAAAATGGCAAAGGGCCACAGCTAGACAGGTGGTGCTCTGAAAGCATCCTCGAACAGAAATGTAAATTAAAGGATCTCTGGGGTTCCCTTCCATCTTAGTTCATCCTGTGGAATTCAGCATGTGGGAAGAATTTTAAGTGAGAGGCAAGGATTTCTTAGGTCAAAGGAAGAGAGATTAGTTGAATTAAAAGAGAGTAGAGGGAGTTTGATTCTGGCAAAAATGGAGAAGACTATGGAAGTAAAGGAGGAAAAACTTTGGATAAATTATAGAGCTCCTTGAATATCAGAACTTTTTCTTATGTAAAGGAAGGTAAAGGTGATGTTTTAGGGTGATGAAGATTCACAATCTCCCATCCCACATTCCTCTTACAATGCTTCCCATTGAGAGATTCTGTATCCCCTTGCTCTCTACCTGGGTAGGCTTGATACAGTAACAAGTACACCATGTGACTACCAAGATAGGTCATAAAAGTTAGAGTTCAATCTTGCTCTTGGGATGGTTGTTATTGGAACCCAGGCACTGTGCTATAAGGGGGCACATACCACATAAAGGGGTGTTTGGCCAACAGTCTGGATGAAGTCCAGCATCACCTGCCAGATATGTGAGTACATATTTCTCCAGATGGTTCTATTCCCCTGTCTCCCCAACCATCAACTCTCCCCCAACATTCAAGTCTTCCCAGCTGAGGCTCCAGGTATGTAGTGCAGAGATAATCTCAAAGTCTGTCTGGATTAGTTACCTACAGAAGCCATGAAATGATAAAATGATTATATGAGGTTTAAAATGTTAAGTTTTTGGTTAAATTATCACTCTGTGCTAACAATAACTATAACTAGAGCTTTTATCTGCCTCTAATATGAAGGAAGTAAGGTAAGAAGACCAGAAAGCAAAGCTCTGGAGTAGTCTAGAAGGGTAAAAGCCTGGACAGGAAAAGATACTCGAAAGAGCAGTTCTTATACAAATACCAAAACATTATATTGCCTACCCGGAATATGTATGTCAATTAAAAAAAAAAAGAGAGAGAGCAGTTGCCACTTTTAGGCTCTATAAAATGTGCTCATGCACAAAATCCCTCAGGAAGAGTGATCCATTGCACGTGAGGCACTGCACTCCGCCAATCTATAGACTGTTTTCCCTAGAATAAAGGTCTTTCAACTGGTTATTAAATTGCTTTGATTTTTTTGGGCCTCCCTGTGGCCTCCCTGGTGGCGCAAGGGGTTAAGCACCACACTATGAAGCAATCCGAAGCCTCTGCAGCACGAGTTCCATCCCCGGTCATGGAGCTACCCACATGGCAAAGCTGACCTCTCCTGTCTGCCCGTTGCTCCCCTCAGCAGTGTATTTCAGTCAGTCTGCCTGTTCTGTTCTCCACTCTGTCTCTGGTGAATCCTCTCACCCCCCGCATCTCTGGCCTGTACCCCAGCTCTTGTATGCATAAATAAACATTTTTAAAAATTTGTTTTGATTTTGTCATTTGACACTTCCCATTGGTTGAAAGGACCAGGGACTGGTATGTGTAGAAGGACATTCATTCTTATAATTCATCCAACAGATCTTTACGAAGGGTCAGCTAGGGATCTTGCTTGATTATATGTGAAGATTATATTTGATCTTGAAGATTATATGTGATATTATTCAATTTATGCCACCGAGAGTTTATAAACTACACAGAACTGACTGGAAACAAGCTACACAATCCAAAGCAGCATGTATATAAATATGGAAATAGTGGTTGACAATATTTGTATTAGGAATTAGTGAAGGGGAATCCACATTAGCAGGAGCAAGCAAGAGGGGAATCCATACTCCCGTGGTATAAGAGAATAAGTGCTAGTCTGGGAGTTTTAGTCCATCATTCTGGTCCCTGATTTCCTGTACGGTGAAGTGAGATTTGAAAAGTATTTCAGTGTTTTCATGAGAATGGATGATTTAATTTATTTCTTTTAATTTTCTTTTTTATTATTTATGCATAAAAGAACTGGGGTACAGGCCAGAGGTGTGGAGGGTGAGAGGACTCAACAGAGACAGAATGGGGAGCAGAACAGGCAGACTGACTGAAATACACTGCTGAGGGGAGCAGCAGGCGAGGCAGGAGAGGTCTCCTGCGCCATGTGGGTAGCTCCCCGGCTGGGGATCGAACTCCTGCTGCAGAGGCTGCAGACAACTTCATAGTTTGTGTCTTAACCCCTTGCGCCACCAGGGAGGCCTGGATGATTTAATTTAATCCTAACACAGGCATGTATGTGTGTGCACGCATGTAAGAATAGGAGAAGAGAGGAAGTCCAGGTGACAAGCTTGGACTTGAAAATGGCACCTAAAGTAGAGACAATCCTGGGTGCTGAGCCCCTAACTTGTGAGATCTAAGTTACCGCTGAGTAGTCTATTTCAGAATTGTCTAGAGTAAAGGAAACCCCCAAATACAGGGTATAGCATTGTAGGAATACAAAGCCTTCTTTTAAATACTTAGCGCTCTA